TGTCTATATTTAGACATATACATAGATAGATTCCTTTTTAATCATATTGTTTTCACACACACACACACAATTAATTAATTAACGTATGTCCTTAAAAATTTCTACTTTGCTTGTTTTGTGAACATCAATAACAACAACTCGTACAAACACAAAAAAGGACAGTATAAAACAAAAAGACAAACAAAATACACACACACCAGATAAACAGCCCTGTACAACCACCTTTATTTCTTTGATTGTGTATAATTCCTTCGATTGTATGGAAAAGAAAAGAAAAGATGGAAAAGACCTGAATCTTAACTTGACATGCCACAGGTCAGAAACAGGTGAGCATGAGAGAAGTGTGTGTTTCTTTTTTAAATGAAGCTCACTAACACATATCGCAGCTGGGAGCGTCAGAGCAGCGCGAGGCCGACCTTAAGACAAACGGCGCGCTCTCATTGGCTGCCGGCTGCGTCAGTCCGGCCCGGGCCCGCCTCTTCCCCCTCCGGCCCAGGCTCGGTTGAATCTCCGGGTTGGAGTCGTGTGCGGTTGCAGTGCGAGAGAGGGTCGCGATGATCTGACAGATGAAATAGCGAAAATAAAGAGCGAGCAGGCGGCGTCCTCCCTCACTCAGCCATGTTCCCCAAAGGCAAAGGCACCCCGGTGCCGTCGGACGGCCAGGCGCGAGAAAAGTAAGCTCCCAGCCGGGTATTGTTGTGTGTTTTACCGCCGCGGTAAGTTGCTCCCTCGCGCTCTCTGTTGTTCGCTGGACGGGCGATTTCCTCCTGCCGTCACTGGAATTGAATGAACCGCCTTGTCTGCTCGCCATTCCTGCTCCGAGTCGTGTTTGTGCTGCCTTCGCCTCCTCGCTGCCTCCGCGCAGACCCACTCAGCGGGGGTTGTCACTGTTTGAACCCGCGGTTGTGTCGATATTTTCTGCGGGGTTTTGTCGCTCGACAGCTCGGGGAGGAGAAAACAATAACAGCGCAGTTACATTGTTTTCTCTGTTGCGCTCCCTTTTTATTTCCCTCAGCCCATCAGTGGCACCAGGATACTGTGGTTCGTACCCTGCTGCAGCTGGGGGTTAATATCTCACATCACCATTTTAAAACCAAGCTGCTGCCTCCACACTTTCTCTTCTCATTGTTGTGGATCTTCACCAGGCTTGGCTTGGTTGCACAGTCCCCATTTAATTTTTTTGGCACAGGCTTTTTGGCAGCCATTGTTCAGAGGGCCTGTACCAGACTCCAGTCACTCAATGTGCCAATAGAAAATTCAACCTGATGTTCCTTCATTTATGTTTTATGGTCTGATTGTTTAAAATCTGAATTGTGTATTTTTTTTCCACACAGGTTGGCCCTATACGTCTATGAGTATTTGTTACACATAGGAGCACAGAAGTCAGCACAGACCTTTTTGTCAGAGGTATGTGGTATTTAATCTAACCATGTTTTATATTTAAACAATTAACACTACATGTGCTCTGGCAATAAAATTTAATCTATTTCACAATCACCCCCCCCCCAGATTCGATGGGAGAAAAACATAACACTTGGAGAACCCCCTGGATTCCTACATTCCTGGTGGTGGTAAGTGATCATGTTCTTCTCTCCCTGTAAACATGTCCAGAGGTTGTTTGGGTGCTTTGTTTTTTTATATATATGTGTGTCTGTGCTTCACAACCTGTCTTGTCCACAGTGTATTCTGGGACTTGTATTGTGCCGCACCAGAGAGGAGAGAGACATGTGACCACTCCAGCGAAGCAAAAGCCTTCCATGATTACGTGAGTATAGTGCTTACATGGGAACTGTTGCTGCGCATATTGCTCTGTCCTCTGTCGAAGAAGACAACAACTTGGCCAGGCAGAGAAGTCGTGTAAATGTAAATAACCTGGTTTCGGATCAGGTTGTGCAACGAGTCAAAAAAAAAAAAAGTGGGTGGGAGCTATCAGAGCAAAAGTGCTCATAATCTCTGTTTGTCAACACTTCAGACCTTACAACATCTCTCACATCCTCCTTCAAGAGTGATACAGCTGCCAGACTTCAGGACATTGTGATTCCCTTTAAACTTCAAGTATTATCATGACTGTCTGATTCCTGCTTTTTATATTCATAATCTTAAATATGTTTTGCACATTATTTTGGTGATGTAAGTCATTCACTATCTCCCACAGCAACTCTCGTAGCTGTGTCTAACTACCTAATGCAATTTTGACAGTATGTTTTTTTTTGTTTTTTTTCTCTTGAATTTATGATCGGTCATCTTCCCCCGTTGGTGGGTCGAACGATGCACCCAACATTGAGCTTTATTGGCTTCTGGGAAAATGATGCTGATGTCAGCTTGTCCTGAGTCAGACCTGTCGAGTGCTTTTCCCCTTATCCACGCCGTGCTCAAGCACCCTGGCTCATTTGTGAGGACCAAAATAAAACCCTCCGTTTGTTCTGCAGAACTTCTGAGACTTAATAATAAACAGAGATTTCTGACATATACTTGCACATTATGGATGGTTTGCATCTCGCTTATTGTGCTGTTCCCTGCTTTCAATCATCAAAGAAAGTGTCACCTGCCCGTCAGTGGCTTCCGCTGTTCCCAGTCTTGCTTCTGCGGCCATATCTGAAAAGATAAGACGAGAATTCTATTGACCATGTGAATAAAATAAAAATTCAATTTGTGCTTTGCTGATTCGGCACAGCCAAGATGGACATTAGAGGTTAAGTAGTTCCCTCAGGCTGTCTGATACACAGACCAGTTCTTGATGTGTCGGACAGAAAAGGGTTAAAATGGAGATGTTGGTCCTGCTCTTGGCAGATAGGGTTGTCAGGGTAACAGGCCTCCTGATCTGGCAGGTGACCTGGGAGCCAGGAGAGAGGCTACAACGTGGCTCTGCCCTTTTCAATAACCACATTCCTAATTATTCTAACTCAAACAGACAAAGGGGGAGTGCATTTTGTTCGAAAACCGTCTTTATTCGCTCAGCCCGCTTCACGACAATTGCAATATCTTGGCTTTTGTTGTTTGCTTGTTTGTAATATGTAATGGTCAATTGTAGATTTGACTGTCGAATATGAGAAAGTCAGACCGATTCAAGCCGTCTGTATCTGTGTTGGAACTAAATCATGTTTCCTGATGTGAATTATTAATTATTGTAGGGTCAAAATCATCTAGGCAAAGGTGTAAAATTTATTGAAAATGACTTTTGCAGTAATCTTTGTATTAAAATGAAGAAACATCCTCAGATCCGTTTTGAAAGCATGAACAACCAAAAATAAGCTGCTACATCTCCACCCGTGGTGTGAATGAAACCATTTTCATAAGATGGAAAACATTAAGCAAATGATTGATGAGGGAAACAGTCTAGATAGTGTGCTGCTGTGGTGTGGAGCTTTGAGAGTTTCTGTGCGGTTGACTCTCCCCGACATCTTGTGGTTACCCTTTGCTCTGATGTTGGATCTCTGTGTGTTCATTTGTGGATGCTGGGAGGTCAGAGAAGTGTGTGTATGTGTGTGGACAGTACTAGTCCTTGGACCCTTGCCTTTGTCTAGGTGTGGGGGAGGTGTGGGGGAGGTGAGCGCTGCTCTGTTAGGCGGCAGCGCTCGTAAAGCCCCGGCGTATTCACGATGGGTCTGACGTACGCTCCCCGAGGGGCCCCGTCGCCATGGCTTCGGCGGCTGATTGATGGCTGTCACGGAGCTAAGGGGCAGATTGGGAAAAAGGAAAAGGGGAGTGGCACTGTGGCATATGCCCAGCACACACCAACACCATGGAGGAGCTGAGGGAATTAAACGAGGAGGGGGGTTGGAGAGGAAGAGGAAGATGAGGAGTGGAAGGGACCTGCTAGAAGTAACTAGAGAGAGAGAGAGAGAGCGAGCATCCAGTGAGGATCTGGAGCGGGTTTTATGATGTTGATTGATGGTTAAACATTTACAAGCTAAACATAAGGGCTGGTTTCTTTTGAGCTTTGGTTCCAGTGGAAGAAGTGAGGCTGTTAAGAGCATGCTGGGTTCAGGAGCCGGCAGTTGGGTGGTCTCTGTGCTGCAGCTCAGCCCCTTTCATCCTCTTTTACATCTTCCCTTTTTTCTTCTTAATTTTTGTGTCTTCTTTAATTTTGTGTCTCTCTGTGCTTTGTGTTTTTTTCACATTTTACCTCAGTCAACCTCCTGGTCATCCCATGGTCACCCTCACCCTCCTGTCTCTCTTCCCTTTTGAACCCCCTCCCTCCTCTTCTCTTTGCTCCCCCTCTCTCTTTGTTTCATAAAAGCAGCACAAGCACATCCGCCGCCACTCCGGCCTTTTGTAACCTCCTTCAGTGATTCAAGGATTCAGGGAAAGATTTCCTTGGCTGGAGTTGCCTGCATTCGCTTAAGAACACACATGTACATGCTGAATCATTATGGGTTGGGAGGAGGAGGGGGTGGTGGTCTGTCTTAAGGAAGGTCCCCTGGGAAGTTGTAAGGACAAGAGCTCCATAGCCTGAGGCAGGGCTCAGACATCTGTCCTTTTCCTGGACCAGAGAGTCTGTGGTGAGACGTGGCTCGTTTAGACCAGAAGCAGCATCAAGCTTTTTGGGACAGTCCAACAAGCACAGCTGTGATCTGCCTTACAGAGATAAGATATAGATCTTACATAAAATGCCTGGGAACCCATCATGCACATTGTTTCTCACTCTAGCAAACTGTTTCTGACTTCTGAAGAGCAAAGTAGGTTGTGACATTGTTTTATTACTTTGTGGCCTATACAGTTGTAAATTCAGCAGTGTTTACATCATTATTTCTTTTTAGGACTCATTCCAGGAATAGGCTACTTAAGGGTAGAGGAACAAAACCAGCAAAAACTAGTTTCCGTAAGCGGCCAGACAGTGTGACTGTATGAGCGTTTACCTCTCTCCTGTGAAAGTAGCCATAAACTGTGGATCTGTATCTCCAGTTAGATCGTGATAGACAGACATCTGCTTACAATTACTGTGCAGCAACAGTCACTCTCAGGTTAAGAAGCGCTTCTCTTTATAAAACAGTAACATTTCACAGAGTTAAGCCGTTTTCAGACATGACCTGCGGGTGAAGTTTACCCAGAGTTTTCCTCCACATTATTCAGACGGGAGTTGGAGCAGCCGGGTGCAGTAGGCAGGAGCAGGAAGTGACGTATTAACTCAGCTGCAGAGATCACGTGATTTTGTCGACAACACCCCGACACTGGTGTCAGCTCTTATCAGCACAAACTCTCTTGACATCTTTGTCAGTGTCTTCTGTGTGTGTGTCACTGCTTTTTCACCTGGAGATACAGTATATGTTTATTTTTTGTAAGTGTCATCAACCCTCCCACTTGCTTATGGTGAATCCAACCGGGAATCCCCCTGCCGTGTTTTCACATTGAATTCTCCTGAATTTCTACAGACTTTGCAGGCGAGGCAGAGAAATTCCACAAAAAGTGCAGATTGTCTCATTTAGATGTTTGCGGAGTTCAGTGCAGGCCTGAAAGCAGCTCTAGAGAACAAATCATGAAAAATGTAGAAAGAAAATACTTTTGGTGGAGAGTATGTATTGGTGGAACCTTGGTATTGCTGTTTCACTCCACAATCTCTATTGCGCAGATTCTGGCTCCAAACGGTTCCAGAATCATAAGATGGGAGCATTGGCAGTAAGATTGGCTTCATTTGGCGTCAATCCCTCAACTCCATTTTACAGCCAAGCTAACAAAATTGTCTGTCCTCAGGATTACCACTTAACTGGTCGGTAGACCACAGGCTGATGCTGAAGTCTTGTAGCAATATTCACCCCAACTGTTTCAATAAAATATTACATATTATGCATGAACCCTTGGGCACAGCTTCATCACTGTGTCCGTAGATCTGACACGTGTCTGTGGTTAACATGGTGCTAGCTGTTAGCTAGCTAGCTATCTTAATTAAGTGGTGCCTCTGTGTTGCAGACGCAATGAGATTGACTTCAAAGGAACTCAAATATTTACCCAGAATACTTGTGTACCTGTCAGGCCATGCAGGTTTGATGGAGTAATTGCTGGATTGTTTCAGGCAGGGTGGGTTCTTGACTTCACCCTTGTTTATCTTGCATATGGACGACTTGTCCGGGCAGTTTAATTCTCGCAAAGCAGGTTGTGTTTTATGTGATATGCAGATGGTCTTTGGCTGATGTTTAGGGAACACTCCCAACGTGGTGCTGATTTCAACACTAGATTAAATGCCAAAAAGATAATTTACTGATACTGTGACTAATATTTTCATAATCCTACTCCAGTGGAGAGCTATTCCATACTTTTAAAGTGAGAGTATGGGGTGAAAAAGTTAAACATCTGTGTCAGATGAAATATAATTAAAGGTGTGATAATTGATCTACAAAATGCTCACCTGTTCTGTAGGAGTAAAAACAGTAGTATTTAAAAGAGATGCTTTTTAGGCCCAAGCCTTAGGTTGTGCGTCTACTTCTGAGGGTGTTTCTCCTTGAACGGTTTAGGGTTAGGGGGTTAGTTGAGAGGGACTGGTCGAGATCGGTGAGGAAGAATGAGTATAAGTCAAACTACACATGTTTTCTTACACATCACCAGAAGTGAATTTTTACATAAAAACTGAGATGCTGGGGATATTTTAAAATCCCTCTCGTTGAAATCTCCACCCACTGCACCTCTTATCTAGTAAAGAAAGAGGATTTATTTTTTTCTGTCTCTGTGTCCCAGTGGTGGTGGTGGTGGGGCCTGATGAGACGTGACATCTCCCTGTGGCCTCACTTCTCCCCCTGCTGAGGTATTTCACAGTGGCCCTGCAGTGGCAGCCTGAGCAGATATAATTAGAGAAGGTGCAGTCAATACCAGGGAGTGTGTTGGCTATTGACCACTGATGTCTGTAGAGCTGTGGGGCACTGGACAGAGACCAAGAGTGTTTTTGTAAGCATATGTGTGTGTGTGTGTAGGTGCTGTTACATTTATCATTTGTAAGTAAGCAGGCAATTATTACTATTACTATCTACACTAAAGTGTGTGTGTGTGTGATGCATGCTTTGTCAAATGGGACCGGAGGAGCTCCTCTCCGTCTACAGCCACTCTCTGTGAGCTAAACCCCACAGCTCTGAAGACATTAGCTCATCTCAGATTGCTGCAGCTACAGGGAAGAAAAATTCAGTCAATTAGGAGCGTGTGACCGAAGCAAATGGCACATTAGTGAATTAGGGCTGCGGTTTGAGCAGGAAATCGGCCCAGCGAGCCCCTGCTGTGCAGCAGCACTTTGGAGCCACTGACTCAGTGAATCCCACTTGATCCTTATCTGACCCACTGGTTCTTGGATCAGCACGGCTCAGAAGCCTCCGTAAGGATCCCATCGATGCCCCTTTCATAAGGAGACCCACAAATGATGTGGATCTGCTCAGTGTGTGTTGGTGCTTACTGTTTCTTACTCCTTTGCTCTGGGTTAGTCCACAGGGGATTTGGATTCCTCACGTGTACTCCTCGAGTCCAGCTGGGCCAAGTCTCTCAGTCGAGAAAGTACCAAAAAATAACAGTCTAACAACAGACTCCCATTTGTGTATTGCTACTGGACCCATATTGTGCAGCACAGTTGGAGTTAGAGTTGTAATGGTTTTTTTTTTTACTGTTTTTCCATCCTAGAGTGCAGCAGCAGCCCCCAGTCCTGTGATGGGAGGGATGCCCCCTGGTGAGGGCATGCCAGGAGGACCCATGCCACCTGGCTTTTTCCAGGTCTGTCCAGATCTACACTGATTCTCTTACTATAAGGAACTCTCCCACTTTTACTATTACTATCTACAATAATTAACCCATATAGACATATTAAATAATACATATTAATGCTCTAAGTATTGTTTAAACATCTTAAATCCTGAGGGTTTTCTGAAGAGCTGACAGAATTGCCAAAAACAAAAACTTGAATTTCTCAGGCTCAGATATAGACATAAAATAAAAACATTTGATAGCTAAAACATTTGTCTTTCATTGTAAACCATCCCCTTTTGCCCAAACTTTGTAATCTTTTTTTTTTTTAACAAACAAAGCTGGCAAAATCGCTGAGATCCCTTTAATCATCTGAATTATGTTAATGTTTTTTTTCTTCGCAGCACTTCAGCAGATCTGTAAAATGTAGTCTAGGTTTTTGTCATCGCCATAGACGTTTTGTCTGCTCGGGCCCTCCAGTGCTGTAAACAGGCAGGCGTGGCCATTTTGCCTAATGGAGAAATCGAAAGGTGCAGCACCTACAGTAAATCAATATGTCGTGAGGATAAACTCTTTGGCAGGCGACTGTGTGGAACTACCTCTGAGAAGCGACATAAAATTTCAGCGTCGTTCTGACTCTGCTCAACCACACTCTTCATGTGTTCTGACCTTGAAGCAACAAAGCTATTACTCATTATGTGATCATGTTAAAATTGGGAAAGACATTTTCACACATATGAACACACACACTCTTACTTTCTGTACCAGAATCCAGGAGGAGGTTCAATTAGACCCCTCACACTCTCTCAGCTCAGCAACATTAGCGACACAGTGCCGGTGTTTAGTGTTGTTATAAAGCTAATTGCATAGAGCTTAATTGATGCTGTTAATTCAGGGAAATTAGCACTGATAACATGCTGCATGCAGCAGGCTTCTTAATGTCTTGACTGACAGGCAAAAGAGCACACATCCTCTCCATCTCTCTGTCTCTTTCCTCTCAGTCAAGGCCAAGTCATTTGCTTGCTCTGCTCTCACTCTCTCCTACTCTCTCTCCTCTCTCACCGTGTTTGCTACATGAAAACGAGCGTCTTATTTTTACATTGTTTTTTGCGGCAAAACTTTTGTTCTTGCGCTCCGACTGTCTGCCCCGCAGTAACCCTGCTTCTCTCTCTGCCTCTCCTTTTGTCACTTCTGTTTCTTAATCCTCCTTTGTCTTATTCCACCCATCTTTCCCTCTCTCTCGCTCCCTTTGTCTGTTTTCCTCCTTCGCCTTTTCATTTTGTGCAATGCCACAGGGTCCTCCTGGTCCCCAGGGCTCTCCTCACCCTCAGCCTCCTCCCCCTAACAGTATGATGGGACCTCACAGTCAGGTAATGCTCCCTCTCCCTCTTTCTCTCTGTTGTTCTCTGTTTTTTGCTGTCTGCAGTCATTAGGGAACACTGGTTCTCAGCACTGACGCTTCATGCTTTGGCATCCGTCTCAGCTTGATGCTTTACGCTGCTGTCGATATTAACTTAATAAGCTATTGAGAAATTAGAGTAAAAGTACATTTCTGGAGATGTACGTGTCTGCTGGATTCTCATGGAGTGATTGTGTTTTTGTTGTAGTCTTTTATGTCACCTCGCTTTGCTGGCGGCCCAAGAGGTCCCCCCATTCGTA